TTTTGGCTACCTGTGACAAAAATCCCTAGTGTCAGAACTCGTTTGCTTATTATCGTTGATTATTATACTCCTTGTGATTATGATAGTTGGTTACTTTTATTATTTTGTTTGATTCATTATCAATAACACTCACAGGACATTTTTTATTAGTGCATCTAAAATTTGAACATCCACTCATTAAAACATGGTATTCACTACATTTTTAACTATCAATATTAAAACATCGTTTTCCTCGACGAGATTCAAAAATATTGGAAATTTCTACGTCCATATTAAAGTTTACGTCGTCAACACACTAGTCACCACTGTACCGTCCATATCCATAATCCATATCTATTGAAACTTTTTTAAAATTTGTTTGGAAAATTCAAATGTATATAATCTACTGTCTACACAGTCGATTATAAGATAATATTAAGATAATATATTTGATAATTTGTACTGCATCTGTGACGATATATGTATACACGTGTTATGTGTATGAATTGTCGCTAAGCGCAAACGAGCAAGGCCATATCTGGGGGAGGGGGGTCCAAGGTGTCTGAACCCCTCCCCCCGAATTTTTTTTCGATATTTTACGAATGTTTAAAAAAATAATTTTTTTTTTAATACTTACATGAATATTTCCAGTCAAAAATGATTTAAGCTCCAATTAACCATTGACTGCTTTTAGTTTTATAATATAATACTCGTATCATATGAAAATATGGTATTAATTTTAATAAAAAAAAGATTAAATTTTTTTCTGTCTTATTTTTAACCAAATATCAAAAGTTAAAATCTAAATTTAATAAAATTACAATATACATGTTTTGGAACCCTCCCGAAAAATATTTCTAGATACGACCTTGCAAACGAGTTATCTATTTTTAGGTAAAGGACTGATTTCATTTTGCGTAAACGAATCGCCGATTTTCAGGTAAAAAATTTTGAATGTGTGCAAACGAATTGCAGTGATTTAAACATACAGTAAAATTTTAATTCGTAATTGAATACTTTTGTTAAAACTGGAATTTCAAAACGAAAAATATGAAGAATTATTTTTAATTAATATTTACTGTGTATCGTGTTTTTTTTTTTTACTTCATAATAATTTAACTCTGTTTTAGCTATGCAATCATGTATTTCCATATTTGTTTTAGATAATATTAGACTAGAATATAATTATTAAATCATTAATAAATTATTAGAAATAGTGCAATGAATACATAATTAATTTATTATAATTATGAAATATCATTAGTTTTAAGAAAATTAATACTACAGCTACGAGTACTTTTTGAGCTCATAACATTGAGTATACGTTTAAAAATATTTTTTGATTTAGCTCAATTCTTAAACTTTTTTAATAACTTTTCTGTAAAAAAATTAAAATCCACTTTATGATTAAAGTTTTAAATTTTACCTTTTCTTTTTTAATTTTAAATTACAATGATTTAATAAAAATAAGAACAATAATAATATATAGTAATAATAATAAAAATAATTTATTAATTACATAATTTGTAGACATATTATTTTATTATTCGAAATCTATCACTGTATCTTGCCCGTGATACCCCTTGAACATGAAATTCAGATCTCTCTCCTTCATATTATTATACGTTTGCATTACCTATTTTGTCAGAAAAATATGCTTTGGAAGACGGAACTGAAAGTACTCCATCCCCTTAATCAACGAGCAAGTAATTTCAAGTGCATTAGGAAACCCCTTCCATAGAAATTGATCTATCTTGTATAGCTCATTCCGGTCCAATTCATAACTTAAAACATTTCTAATTCTGCTCTGTCTCTGTAACTTTTTTTTTCAAATCTTCCATGATCTATTATGGATGAGTAGGAAAACGAGAAGGAAAAAGAAAAGAGAGAGAGAAAGAGGGAAAAAATATCAATATACGAATATGATTGCAATAATAATGTTGACAAATTTTATATGGTATTTACGTATTTCAGTGTCAGAGAAATATATGATATACATGTATACATCCATCTAGTAATCTTAATTATAGAGTCAGTGAACATAACTCATGATCTAGTGTCTATATTTAAATGTAGTTTTTTTTTGGTTTTTAAGTAACTGTATATATTTTAAGATTTTAAGAAAATGTCGTTCACATTTTCATATTTTCTAATAATTACCTAATTTTGCAAATTAACGAAATAATAATATTTTTGTACAGAAAAAAAAAATCAAATGGTTGACTTTCAATAAATGCAAACAAATCTTATTTTCAAAAATACAGCAAATCATTCGAATAATGTTAGATATCTTCAGGACATTATGTGCGTGAAATTGGTTAGAAAATGATTGTATTGAGAACAGATGATACTGGATACACCAATTACCGGATTTTTTTAATTGATACAACATACAAATTAATTAAAACAATATATAATATATCAACGATTAATAGATTTAGATTAGAAATGTATTAAAAGTGCGAAAACGTAACATTTTAAAATTTATTTGTTTTGGTTTATGAACTGTTCAGTTTTATTTTAAATTCAACCATTTTAAAATTTGTATTCAAAAATAGCATCTCAAATAGCAGTACTAAATAGCTTTCTTGCAATCATGAAACACAAAACTCAAAAAAATCTTGAAAGTTTTTTGAATTATTTTTTCCTGGATAGTATCCTTTTATAACGTTAGATGGAAATGTTGATTGTGTTGTTGGTGGTGCTACTTCCGGGAACGGTGCTGATTCGTTGATGGGTGTAACCGTAGATTAGTGAGCAGTGGTAGTAGACGACCAAGACTTTAGGAGTACTGTACACCGATGTCGAACACGGCAGTGTCATGGGTATTTAAGCAGTGGAAAATGCATCTCCTTTTATTTTCATTTCGAATTTTCGGTGCTAATGATACATTCATACTTTTCATCGATTGCTCAATTGAAAATACCTTATAATTTGGAACACATAAACATGATATCGAGTTTGCGTAAACGCCGCAAAAATAACACACCTATTATATTTCTACAATCTTTAGTAATTATTATAAATCGTTAGAAACAATAACGATTATGAAAACCGTTTGACAAATGTTAAATTATATTTTAAATATACTATACAATGTATACATGTACGATAATCGTAGACATATATCGCGCATAGAAACACTATATTTAATATTAATATGAACACAAATAAACATATTATTTATGTACTTACTTTCTATACATATTTATATCACACGCCTTACTATATATATATATATATATATATATATGTTACGGGCAAAGTAGACTTTCGGGCAATGTTTACATTGCCCGGGTATTATGGTATTGCCCGATTTTGATGGACAATGTAGGCAAAATTATACATTGTTCGGGCTGTGTAGAATTGACCAGTCTATCTGGGGCAATATAAACCATTTTTTTTTATTTTTAATGGTAAGCCTTTCTAATGTTTCTAATATTATAAATAATTAATAAAAATAGTTATTACTTTATTAGTTGAATATTAATATTGATCAGGAACTATATCAAATATAAATTTATAGGTAGCAACCTATCGTCATTTTTTTTTTTTTTTTTAATGCAATTTCTAAATTTTTTAAATATTGTCCTTCCATTTCAATTAATTTAGTTTAAATACCGCACACATTTATACAGCGAACACTACACTAACACTACAACAATACGACACGACTTTCAACTGCGCTGTACTAAATAGTATTAACAACTCACATGTTGTATGTTTCAATGATTGCGGTGATAATTATTGTACGATATCTAAAAGGTAAAACCGATTTACTGATAACATAATCTTAAAACGACGATAATTGACGAGATAATATTGAGAGTTTTGTATATTGGTACCTCATGGCTCATACTAGTATAGTTATTTGAAGTACTAACAGACAATGGTTTCTTAATATTATAATTATTAGTTTAAGTTACAATGTCTAATTTACTACGGGCAAAGTATACTTGGACCGGTGAAAGTATTACCCTGCCCGGTTAAAATAGTATTTTAATGTATTGCCCAAAAACAGCGGGCTAAGTATACATAGATCGGGCAATGTGAACATTGCCCGATAATCTACTTTGCCCATAACATATATATATTACCATATCCACCATTTGAAAAAAAAAATTTATAAACCATATATTTTTTACTAATTTATTGTTGAAACACTTTATTGTCCCCTTAAAAAAAAAAAAAAAAAAAATTATACACACTAATTATCGTAAGCAACAACAAAAAACGCATCTCTCATAAATTAATTCATAATTCATTGAAATTATTAATTTTGATTTTTGAAATCATACATAGCATGTACTAAAGTTGTGCTCAAATTTAATGGATTTCAATTTCAATTTTTACTCTATGAACTATTTTAGTGTGTGTAATATTCTTTTTTATCGTAATTATAAATATTAGAGTTAAGATTAATAACTTAATAATCGATTTATTTTTTCTGTTAAAAATAATAATAGTTACAATGGTCAAAGCAAAAAGTAAACCATACACAATTATAGATTTTACATAGATGAAAATAAAATTGGTTGATAATTATTGAATTATAAACTTAATGTTCATCCGAAAATTTAACACCGATTTCATTTCAAAACTATGAAGATTATAACTATGAAGACATCAACAAAATTGAATGATTTTTAACGTATGTATTATAAGAATTTTAAAAAACTAATGTAAATAAATTGGATTAGGTTATATTAATGATATAACTTTATGTTACATGAATATTTTAATTAAAATACAATATTAATTACGCTTCGTTTATAATATACGAGATACACGAAAAAAAAAATTTCTCAGTTTGCTTATTCGATCTTTTATTTATGCGTAATATACAAAAAATTATACATGTAATTTTTATTTATAATATATGAGTAAACTGTATATTTTTTAATGAGCTAAAATATAATTGGTCCAGTAGGCCATTTATTTATTAGCCAAACATGTCCAATTGAACATTCTTGCGGTAGGGATGTTCTATATTATTGTATTCTATACAATACTGTATAAATACTGTAGACGAAATCGTAATGAACAACATTCGACGTTTTTCGTTCTCCGTACAGCACGGTTTTATTATAATCTCGTAATACTTCTACAACACTTTCAATATGACCACAAAGGTAAGACTTTTATGTTTAACTATTAAAGGTGTTTTTTGCTTATTCATTTTGTGACCATGAACATTTATATTTTGTGTACATTTTTTTTGTAAAATTATATCGGGCGACGGCCCTAATCGATTTAGTCGTGTATAAATTCGCCGAATATTACTATCCGATATAATTGAGGGTCGATTCAAACAATCTTCGAATCTTTTCATCTTGGATATACATATAAATATTCCGTTGGACGTTTTTCTTTCAGTTGATCGCATTCGCCGCGCTGGTCGCCGGTCACATGATGGTGTTCGCCTATCCGCCCGAGTACAGCAGCTACAACGCACACGACCAATACGCGCACGCGCCCGCCCCGTACAGCTTCGAGTACGGCGTGCACGACCCGCACACGCACGACGTGAAGAGCCAAAACGAGTCGAGCGACGGACACGGCAACGTGAAGGGATCGTACAGCCTGTTGGAAGCCGACGGGTCCACCCGCGTGGTCGAGTACACCGCGGACGACGTGCACGGGTTCAACGCGGTCGTCAAGAAGGTCGGTTCGCCCTACTACCACGGTCAGCCGTCGTCAGCCGACTACCTCCACGGTCACAAAAACGTCTACCCGTCCGGCTATCACCATTACTGAACAAACCTCGGGAAAACGTGACAACGTTCGTCTTCGAGAAGAACTAAATCATCTCGTCTCTGTCGCCACTTCAACTTGTTATCATCTCATATTATATGTCTAGTCGGATGATCATTAACGTTGCTCGTTAGTAAAATAAACAATAACAGTACATTCGAATCGTAGAGTTTAATTTTATTCGCCATCACCTTTTACCGAAATACTTCTACCGGAATGTCCGTAGATCACTTACTCCAGATTCAGGAAATCATGCTATTTCTGGTCGATTGTAATGTCATAATATCAATGATATGGTTAAATAAACGTATTAATATTACATACGATATTTTATTTCTCTTAGTTTCTCATTGTCTCTGATCCTTTTATTTCATACCATAAATAGTCAACAATGGGTGATTGAGACTACGAAAGATAAAAAGTTATATCAGTATAGGAATTATCACATAAAATACATAAAATAATATTATATATTTAAATATTTATTTACTCTAATATCATAATATCAGTTAAATAGTATATACATTGTAGAGTTATAACAATTGGTGAACTAGTTTTAGTATTGATGTATTGATGTAAGACAGTGTATACTTAAACACCAACTAAATAATATTAGCAAATAACGAACGGATTATATAAAAGTAAGACAATGAAAATAATAATAAACATAAAAAAAATTTTGAGGAAATAAATTAGAAATTCTAAAATAAATAAAATTTTATCATTTTAAAATATTGATAACAGAGTCTGGGAAAGAAATTAATATAGTTTTATTACAGGAAATTTCTGTGATCCAATATGTCGGATAAACTAACCAAAGACATCATATAAAATCATATAAAATATCATTTTAGCACTTAACACTCAGATCAAAATGTAATCAATTAACTTAAAATATCAATGATTATACACGTCTAGGTATAATATTTTTCCCCACTGAAAAAATAAATGTTGTAAGAAACGTATCGAATTGCAAATAGTTGTAGATTAGCAAGAAAATTTTGAAACTGGTTCAGATGGCTATAGCCCATAAGCGCAAAAATAAATAACCTTTTTAACAACTCATAAGTGCAAATTAATTTTACAAAAAGGAAGTGTATGTTATTAAAATATTATAATTATTAAGCTTTTAGTGATTATAAAATTAATTAAAAAAATTGAAATTTAAATGATATATCAGTAGTAGGTATAATATTATAATGTGTAACTTAAATAAATATTAATATTAAATTTGAAATTTGAAGCCAACATTTTTCAAATAGTCTAATCTGCAAATTTTTTTTTCGGTATACATGTTCATTGCATTTATATTGGAGTTGACTTTAGAGCTACGTTTTGTAGTTTTTCGCCCATTTGATTGCATTTTTAAGTAAACTTTGGCCTTTATAACTTCGGTTGTTTAAACACTTCCATAAATTTATAAATAGATAGATATGGGTTATAAAATTGATCTTTCAAATGACGGTGGTATAATTCTGGAGCATTAATTGTCCTTGGCTCATTTGAAGGTGTCTCAGCCCAGAGGTGTGGTGGAAATCTGCTGTCATTTTTAATAAAATTTGCTAAAATATAATCAGAAAATGCTGATACCTTATCATTGTCAAGAGCAATAGAAAATAGTTCATAAAACGCATCAGATATTTCAGTGAAAGGTAAAAAAGGTAATCCAAAAAAATACTTTAACCAATTTTAAATTTCTGATTCATTTTTGTCACATTCAATTTTAAGTCCCAATGTTCCAATTTGTCTGTACCAAGCTTGTGTTAGGTGAAACCGGTGACATTTAATTTATGCATATGGTAAAATACATAAAATTATAAACATTTATGATCATGAGCAAATAATTCAAAATCCATAAGTATATTTTGAGATATACTTATATAATAATTATTATTTATATAATTATATATATTAATTACGTACCTATTTAGTACATAATGTTTTTATTAAATGCCACATTTTGGCACAAATATCAGTTGTTTTGGATGGAAACATACAATACACCACTTGAACGTACATTTATTTATGTAGAATATGAACTTTATATAAAATTACTCTTGGTTGTGAAAATTACAATTTTTGATTCTTCATCTACATGACAAAATGTTTCTTTACAATGTGTAGTAATTATTAATAATCTTAAAATGAAACTTATAGTGTAACGGGTGTAATATTTCTTTTTGCGCTTTTATCCCACTGCTAAGGTACAAAAGAGCAAAATTAATTTGCGCTTTTGGTCTATCAAAAAAAAATAGACGATTTGCGCTTTTGGGTGTCACTGGTTTAGATTCGATACAACGATTTAAGGAGGGAGGGTCACTTGAAGTTGCACCCTGAATAATGAAATTTGAATTGTGTTGATTGTGTTTAGTTGGAAATCATGAAACCATTGTTTCAAATTAGATTAAAATTTTCGGTGCACATTTGGTATTAACATTGAGGGGCCAACTTCGCGCACAAATTAAAACAGAACAATGGATCAGGCAAACACCACGAATAATTGAATAGTCTTTGTAATGAAATATAATGCATTCAATTTAAATATTTTTATCGATAGTCGGAGTAAGTGATAGGTTTGGATAGATTAAGAGTGTTAGGAAGGCAGAAAGTTATATCAAGAAGTGACAGTGCTGAAACAAGCTTTTACGATGACTTAGACAAAATCAATACAATTTCCTAACAACAAAATATAATTAACTATTCTAACTTGAAAAATTGTGAGCACCCGAGTTTATTTTAAATGCGAGGCCCTAGGCAATTGCTTAAGTTGCTTGCTCGCTAACAACGGCACTGAGTAGTGACGTATTAACTTGAAGTATTACCACACGGTGTTTCCAATTGGGGTATCATTACGGGTCTATAGCCAACTCAAAAAAAAAAAAAAAGAAATGACGACTTTTGTTAGGGTAAGGTGAAACGGTCGTGGTGTAACGTAGTACGCTGGTACAATATGAACGGGGGTTTCAGAACAATTATTTTCTGTCTACTTAATATTTTTTTTCAAATGCGATAGTTTTATACATTTTTATGACAATAATAAAAAAGTATAATATCTAGTTTAGAAGGAAACATGCGAGAAATTTCCACAAATACAAGTATATTATAATGTTTGAGAATTATTAGTGTATAATTATACTATTTGGACGATTAAATAATTTCATAACTTTGGGCAAAAACCTTTATCGGAAGCAAAGATAATTCTGCAATTAATTTTAAATAATAAAAACGAGTTTAAATCAATACAAATATTAACTACTATCATAGGGGAAATTTGAGTTTCTGACTTGGGGGCTATCCATATATAAATCAAAATGATTTGTGAAGGGTTCAACCCTCAACCCACCACAAATATATATACTATTATATAATATATTAATAAATAATATATTATACAACATAATATACTTAGAATTTTAAGCCCCTTTCTTATTTATATATTTTTCCATTACTTAAATTTAACTGAAAAATACATATCCCTAACACACATTAATAATTACTAGGTAATAAGTAAATTACAAATAGTAAAAAAAAAAAAAAAATGTATTATATACATTATGTATTATATATTATATATTATTTGATGTAGTTGTTATTTATGATCATTTTTAAAACATTCTTTTAATATTTCATTACTGTATATTTAATTAGATATACTTCTTTCAATATAAATTACTGATAATTTAGTGAAACGATTTTGCTCTATAGAAGTGCACAGCCAATTTTTCATCCTGCGCATGGCTGAAAATTACGTCTCACATAATGCTGAACTTATTGGTATTGTGAGCGCTAATTGAATATGTTTAAATAAATTTGGATAAACAACACGATTTACAACTTAATAATTAATTAATTACTTAATTAACTTTATTAATTACTTAATAAGTTTTGTCTGAATATTTTTTTTATGGGGGGGGGGGGGGCTAAGCCAATTAATTAAAGCATAAGCCAAGGCAAAATTGTTTGAACATCGAAGTTTAAAAACATCGAAAAAATTTTTTTCCTTCTAGAGCTGTCATCTGTTGTAAATTTTATTATCTGTACAGTGTACTATTTTCTTAATTAAATAATAAATTTAAAAGTTAAAATACTATTGTTTAATTTATATTTTTTAAAAAAATATTAAATACTTATAATCAGGTCTCGTAAGTTCATGCATTTGCATGTTTTCTTTGCTATATCGGAAAATATACTAGTTGAGATAAAAATCCGTTTCATAACAATCGTAATAAAAATCTAAAGTTTAATAGAGCATGTTTTGTGTGTATTGGCATATTTGGTGTATAGTTGATTTTGTTTGAGTTATTAGCGCATATCATTTTATGTAAATTCAGCAAAATCGTATTTTGAGGAAGTCAGAAAAAAATAAATTAGATCAATAAATGTTTGAATTCATTCTTATTTACTTTTCCGAACTTGTTAGTAAAATCTTAGAATTTTATCAATAATTTTATTTTTAAATGATATTAAATTTAATAAGTTAAAAGCAGTGCCACGAAAACTATGTTTTTGCGCACTACTACCACTTTTCTCTTATTGACGTGTCTATTGCAATCTATTTTCGTCGCAACGTGTGTTCATTAATTATAATTTTAATAAAATGTAATCGAAGAAAAAATATAACTTTTAAAAATGTAAATGGATAATTCTTATTATTTTGAAAAATCCTTAAATGTTTTTTTCGTGCATAGTTAAGGATTTTTAATGCATATTTGATCAAATGTTAGTGCATTAATGCATGCTTATTTATGCATTTTTATTACATGAACTTACGAGCCCTGATTATAACTGTATAGTGTATACCAGTGGTTCTTAATCTTTTTAGAACTGCGACCCAAATTTCCCCCGAAAAATCTTTCGCGACCTACATGATTTCACTTTTCAAAAATAAATAAAAAACGAAATTTTTATTATATAAATATGTATACATTTTTATTAGGTATTTAGTATTTTATAGGTTTATAGTTAATATTTTTTTACAAATGTACTTTTAATAATAAGGTGTATGCAAAATGTGTGCTTGTTTTCTGTTATGTTTAATAACATCATTGACATCGACGTCAATTTTAGTTATTTTCAACTGTAAAGAGTTCGATAAGTTCAGCTTGTTCCGATGTTTGTTTTTAATGCCCACCATTGCCAAAAATCCAACTTCACACATGTAT